TTTTTTTGGCGTACGCCATTTCCGCCTTTTGGCCGTACGTTCACTTTTAGTATGGTTTCCACGCAATCCTTTATAAATGAGACCCCTGGGGCCTCATGTATCAATGGTGCGTACGCACAAAAACCTTGCGTAGGTGATTTTCCACGCAAAACTCCGGATGTATCAAAACTCAACTGAACGTGGAAATGTGCACAGCCCCACGCCAACTCCAGGGCTGGCGTACGCACGTTTCTGTAGTTTTGGTTCCATTGGCGACAGAGGTGATTCTGAGAAACTGTTCATGATGTGAAAATGATTTTTGTTCACAGTGTTTTGTTTTGTGAACTGGGGTTCCACAGGAGCTTTCCAGAGGGAGCTGGCAGACCCATCGGGACCGTGTCAGTCCAGTCCACCCAAAGCAGAGTCATGACCAACGGAATCGTCTCATCCATCTGATTCTAAAGGCTGAGTTATGGTCGCACTCTGGAGCAAGCGCACCCTCACCGGCAGTGGAGGTGTTTCATACTTAGCGTTTACGTTGTTGTAGATTTCTCCAACATGACACAAGGAAGTACACTTTACAACTTGTGAAAATGCTGTAAGTAGGAGAGCAAAAGCTTGACAGACAAACAGACTGCACACAAAGGCTGCGGTGCGTGCATGTGGGGACTCTCCAACATCACGTCATGTGAACTCTCTACTAGCTGAGACGCAGAGACTCGTTTCTTCATATCAGCTATGAAATAAACTAAGATCTATGTTCTACCAAACATTTAAGTTCCTCTGTGTTTACAGTAACTATGGTAATAAACTCGTGCGCAAAGTTAATATTTTCACACTCAGAATGGATGGATAAGCCGGTTGCGCAACACAGCAGCGTGCACACACACACACACTGACACACAATCYCTCGTTCTTTGCGTGATAAATATATTTTATTCCTATTTTTACTTAGGATTTTTTTCACACTCACATTATATTTAATTCTTTATTTTTATGAAATCAGAAATCATTTCTGATCGTGCAGGGATCACTCAAACATGTCCTTCACACATGCAGGAAGTAATTTGCATCTGTTTAACATATGTTAATGAAGGCGTGTCAGGGGAGGTGTCTCACCTGCGCTCAGTTCCACGTTAATTGTGATGTAAAAAAAGCACTGTGCATGGATTCAGGCGTACGCACAGTTTGATACATCTGGATTTTTTTGTGCGTACACCGTTTTCTAGATTTGACCGTACATCAGGTTTCAGTAAGAAATCCACACAAGTCTTTGTACATGAGGCCCCTGGTCTTTCATTTTCCATTCAACCATTCATTTTATCTAGTTTTCTTTTCAAGCCAGATAATCCACATTCTTCTGAACTTTGTTCAGACAAATATTACCAGACAATGTAAAAACTTCATTATTGTATAATTCAACTCATTTACTTCACCAACAACTTAAGTTTGGTTATCAAGGGTGCGCATGTTGGAAGGAAATATTCCAGGTGGTTAGGCCGACCATGGTGGTGATGATGATGATGAATTAGCTGTACAGTATGATGGTGCGCACGGTAAAGCAGGAGGATTTATAGCTTTGCGGGTGAAATATTATATTTGACATGACCCCCCCCCCCCCAAAAAAAAAAAAAAAAAATTAAAAAAATAAATAATAATAATACACGAAAACCCCTGAGGAGAATATTTGTGGTTATGCAAAATTGTAAAGGTTTACACGAGCAATTAGCAGAGTTTCCTCTACATTACTGGCCTTGATAGGGAGGGTGGGTGGTTCCAGGAAGGGTGGGCTGCCCTCCTTATGTAATGGAAGGCAAAAATATTGATTTGCTAGTTAGGATCTAAGGACAAATCCTTAAATGACTGAGGCATCAAACTCTGAATGACGATTTTGCAGGTTAGTTTGTATGGTGTGGGCAAAGAGGTGTTTGTGTTCATTATTTCAATGATTGGACTCTGATATGTCTGACTTTGTGATTAATAGGTTTCTGTTTTCAAATTAGCTTCACGTCCATGCCTAAAGATTCAATATTAGCATCAGCTTTTAAGTCCCCAGGTGACAGGCATCCTGAGCAGAACAATGTGAGCATGACATTTTCTAAAACCATGGTTCTCTGTACCTGTTGGTGCTTCTCAAACTCCAGTTTGATGGGAGACTTGATGCAGTTGCAGGTGTCCTGATAGGTCTGTTTGAGGGCCAGCTCCATGAGATGCTTGTGGTACGCCCCGGCCAGGTTCCCACAGGTGAAGATGATGATGTTGGCCAGGACCTGCCGTGCACACCGATGTTACAAACATTAGAAGGTGATGAAAATTCCAGTCATGACTGGAATTATTGCATGAATTATTGCCTCTTAAAACCAGAGAAAAGCACAAAGCTCTTAATGTTTTACTGCTCTGTGTCAACCTCTTTAAATGTGGATCAATAGATTGTCTTGTATCTAAAGGTAATGAGGCTCACTGAGCACGTTTTATTGCTGATGAACTATTACTCCACACGAGAGACTGAAAAGAGGCCTCATTGTAAGTGTGTTTACTCTGGTGGCTGATTGTAAAGTGACTGTAAATGTGAAACGCACGACACGCAAAATCGATTCAAGCTTGCGTCATTTCTTATCTGGCATCAAGCCGTTTTTGTGGAGTCTGACAGACTTTTTTTATCTGTGGTAAAGGACTTCTTTATGTTCCTTTATAAAGAGTCCATTCAGAGTGAGACAGTCTTTAAGAGCTTTTCCCTGAGTACACCAACAGACAGTTTTATCAGTGAAGGCTGCACTGAATGCCCTGTGTCACAACAGTAGAGAAGAATATCATTGCTATTTTATAACCCCAGACCTACTTTAACATTTTATCTCATCATTTTGAGATGTATCAGCTAACCTTCGCTTTGTTCTACAGCTAACAAACTACAGCCCAATCATTTAGGCATTCAGAGGGGCCAAAATATCAATTTCATGTCAGATTCAGGGCACATGTGCAGCAGAAGCAGAAAGTTCTTTAAATAGGCGATTTCAGTTAGACGCTTGACCCATGCTTTTACAGGTTTAAGTATCTGTCTCACCTGCCAGACTAGAGGTTCCAGTTCAGTGACAGTGGAGGTCAGACAGATGCTGAGGGTGACAGTGTGCGAGAGGCAGGTCAGACCGCTGGCGATAATGGCCCATTTCATGGAGAAGGGCAGCATAGTGTAGACCACAAACACGATGAACAGGAAGAAGGACACCTGGAAACAGAAAACATATGGTATTGGTACATAAATGGGTGAAAATGACACATTTGATCATTTCTGCACAGAAACATGTCAGGCACTGGAGCTACTTCTGCTCCTCTGGTGCTTCTGCAGCTATCTGAGAGGAAGAGTCTGTTACAAACAGAAAAAGCTTAACGTGCCTGTGACATCAAATTTTTGTAATCAATATTAAGGCATGTTTGGAAAGATAACTTTGATAATATATTTGAAAAAATATTCACGCTACTGAGCTGAACAGATGTTCACATGATATTCACATGTGAAGTAACAGGAAGTGATGTCAAAGGGGAATGTCTGAATGTAAACAGTGTTGCTACAATGTTGCAACACAGACTGTAGAGCAGAATCTGATGTTATTTTGAGTCACTATCAGAGAGAAGAAAAATTCAGGATTCAAATAATAATGTTTCAATAAAAAACAGAGAAGTGTCCTTTCTTTAAAAGTTCCCCTTTGATGTCACTTCCTGTTTCACTTTGGTTGAGCCAAGTTTAAAAGAAAACATGCCAGTTATGTGATGAAATGGATAAAATCATCTTTATTATGTCAAGTTTCTTAAATATAAAGATGTTTTCTTTGACTCTTAGTTTTTGAAGGATACAGTATGAACAGTATGTCACAGGCACAAGTGCATTTTCCTTCCAGTGACAGAAAAAAACAAGTTGTTTGCTTTGGGTAACATTTTAGTTCAACACTTTAAACACTATGGAACTAGCATACTCAAATATTTTTCAAATTGCTGTCATGATCTGTGTTTTTGCTTTATTTTTCTAGTGTTTCTGTGTTCCACTGTAGATCTCTCCCCTGCTGTCATTCCTCTAGCCCTGCCAATGCTCACCTGTTTCCTCTTGTGTCTCCTCCAGGTGTTTCTTGTTGTCCCTAATTAGTTTACCTTTATATTATGTGTCCTGTGTTTAGTCTGTGTCTGAACAATGTTTTGTGCTGTGCTGGCTTCTGCGTCCCTCCTCAGATCTTGTAAGTTTTTGCTGCCACGACAGCCCTCTTTTTGTTTTTATTAAAGAGTTTATTTTTGCCTTTAGAATTTTGCCTGCGCCCTGGGTTTTTCTGCCTGCAATCCTCAAAATTGCTAAAAACATGGAGACACAACCACTGAATGTTCATTCACATTTACCAAAACAGCATAAAGCTGCCAAGTAAGAGCAAATTAATGATTAGATTTGAATGCCTCCCTTTGGGGGTTTTCCAGACATGTCCCACTTGGAAGAGGCACCGGAGCAGACCCAGAACTCCTCTCTGTCTTGGGGTCCCGCAGGAGGATGGTAAGTGTAGCTGGAGAAAAGAAGTCTGGGTTTCTCTGCTGGACCAGTTGCTTTTGCTACCTGGCTTTGGATCAGCAGTAGATACTGGAGATACAAAATACAAAAATGTATCTAGAGTTTTCAGGTCCTCAGGTCGGTCAAGCAGAAGAAATACTACCAGAAATGAATGAGATTCTAACCCACAGTGTTGAGCAGGTTTAATGGTCTCAGCACATCAATGATCTTGCATTTGAATCATTAATAAGTACCAGAAGTTAAAATGGATTTTGTTCAAATGGTTGTTAAAATGCCAAACAAGCTGCCACTTTTGTAAAATGTTGAAGAGGACAAAACATTTACAGAAAGCACTGAGTTTATTATGAGCATTAAACACACTGTAGAAGTTATTCCACAAAATGTACGACTGCTTTCCCCAAATACAGACAGTAAACGCCAGCAAACATTTAGCTTCTGTGTGTTTTTCTGACGTTTGTCTAAATCCAGAGCACAGCTGTGTGGGCAGCCATCTTTTCTACTGAAAATGATCCAACACTAAAACGCTGCTCCTGTTATAACTTATTGGAAGTGAGTGGACCGCTCTCGTAGTTTTATTTTTATTTTTTATCTGAGTGAAAAACAGCCAATAAAACCGAAAAGCCCACACACAGTTAAAGTACTAAAAAGAGATCAAATAGGCACTGAAATATTCCCTTGTAAATGGAAACAAGATGAGCGTGTTTGTGTGTGTGTGTGTGTGTGTGTGTGTGTGTGTGTGTGTGTGTGTGTGTGTGTGTGTCGTGCATAAAAGTTGTTGTGCCTTTCTTAATGATACCCTGTGTCTTCACCTCCTGCTCTGTCCCTGTTCACTTCCCCTGCTGTCCGTTCAGCCCTTCCTGTTGTGGTGGCGAGCGGCACGTTCGGGTCACAGACTCAGCAGAGGCTCTGGTCGAACTGTGACCTCCCTGCCTGCCTGTTTATTTCCTGTGTCTTTCAGGTTCAGAGAGTCGGGCTGCAAACAGGAAGTGACCAAATGACAACATGGAGTAAATGATTGCTTTGAAAAGTACGCTTATACCTCTTCATGTTGTTCAAAGCACCGCATATTTAAGTTTTATTATAAGGGATAGTTGGCTGCAAAAGTGCTGGTGTGTTTTCTATTTTGTTGCCCTTCAACCTGAAATTTATTTGCATCTTTAATTTAATTGTAAATAATAATTCTGCAAAGAAAAATTATGAAGTTAAATTATTCTAGAAGACCCTAAGACTAAGACCCCCTTGGTGGTACCGATGGTTGCTGAAAGTAATAATTGAGGCTCCAGAGTAAAGAGAGTGAATAAGTATTTATGTGGCAATGTTAAACTTAATACTGTATATTATTAGAATAATTTTAAACAAGTTTTTCCTTATTTAAAGGGGGCGGGGGAGAAATACAAAATTCACAGTTTTGAGCTTTGTTTCATCAAAAAACATACCCAGAGTGTTACTTAGACTCGTTCATGCATGTTTGAGAAATCCTTGAATCTCATAGTGGCGCTGCCTAAACGCTTGCTGATACAAAGCTCCGCCTATTTGTACAAAGCTCCTCCCTGGAGCTCAGTCTGCAGCCAAGCTCCCGCCCCCAAAGCATTGTTGTGAAGATGTGCTGAAGTGGGAGTGTCTGAAACGGTAGGAGGTTCTTAAAGGGACAGATGCCAATTGTAAGGTGTTTGGATAGATAATGCAAAGTCAGCTATATTTTAGATATATTCAGCTTTTTCAGAACAACTGAAGGCAACAGTTACTTGATTGTGGTATAGAGTTGATCTATGTGCCTGGGAAATACACAGGACCCCCTTTAACCCATTTGATTTTAAGTATCTTTAAAAATCTGTTGAAATTTCAGGTTTTAAGGCAATAAAATGTAAAGATTAGGGGGTTTTCTCCTGTTTTTTTTTTCATGGTATTGTATGTGTCAATGCCTATTTTCCAGCATTTTCTACAAAGCACAAGAAGGTTAGGTGCTCACAATAACAGAAGCTACTCACACCATCAGTGTGACTCTGAACCGACATTCAGGCTGAATTGAACATTAGGTGTAAGTGATTGTTTGGCTGACCTAGTTCTCTTCTAAAAGAAGATCTGAACACGGAGAACAGAAAGAGATGTTGTGTAGGCTCAGACCTTCTGTTGCTAGGGGAACCAACAGGGGAAGGATGCTGACATCTTAACGGCTGCTGTAGTTTGGAAGGTAAGTTTTCACCGTAACCTTCAACTCCTAATCCCGCACCACTCCCCTAAACAAAACCAGAGCTGGGGTCGTCTGAAGAGTGTGACTTCCAGTCGGTTTGGGAGGTGGCGTGGAATTGAGAATGGCAATCCAATTTCAGCTGCATCACCTGCTTCTTCTGTCACACGGGCAGCCAGACACACTCCTATTTCCTCAGCACTCCAACCTGAATCCTAATACGCCCTGCAACACTTTATAGCAGAAGCTGCAGACATAATCTTACTTTAACTTCTTCGATTCCTTTTGTTCATTGTCTTCTTCAGAGCAGACAGCTCATCTTTGTGCTCCTTATGAAGGCAAAAACACACCAACTTCCCTCCCAACATTAAAAATACAAAGTAGCAGATATATCTACACTTGAATCACTCAAATCTTGGCAGCTCGACAGCATACATTTTGCAGTAATACACAAAAAAGTGTGATTGTGACTGGATCCTCGGGGGTACCAGGTGTGAAAGCTGTGCACAATCTCAGTGAAATCAAACGTAGCCGTGACAAACAGGCTAGAGCGGCTGGATGGTGGCAGACATGAATGAGTCATATAAAGCAGGGAAGCAGGTGAGCGTGCTCTGGAAAAGGTGAAGAGGTCAAAGTGAATGGCTGCAGAGTCCTTCCTTCTCGGTACCTCCCTTTTTTCATTTTTCCACAGGCCTTCGCCGTTATTGGCTCTGTGTGCTCCATCACACACACTGTTCTCTGAGTAATCACAATCGATTCAACCCACTGAGAGCTGGATGTATTTCTACTGTTCTCCTTTCGCTGGATTTCTGCTCTGCTGCAAGTTTGTCTTTTGTTCTCGCCCGCTGTTCAGTCAATATTTCTCCTCTTTTTTTTTTTTTTTTTGGTTCTGTTGAAGTCAGCTCGTTAACTAAAACTTTGCCTCTGGTAAAAATGTGGAAAGTACATTTAAAAAACATTTAGTGGCTCCTAAAGACAGGCAAGCCTTTTTTAGACAAAACAACTTCATGCAATATTACAATATTTTCTGGTCAGTATGTGTTGTGAATGACTCTCAGCTACTACCACACCAACGGTTAGCTCAATATCTGTAAATACACTAATGTATGCCAATTTTGGAGTGTGCATGTGCCCAGTGAAGCCTAACTCTTCCGGGTCACACCAGATAAACACAGAGGTTGATATTATAGTTGAATTGACCAAATTCAAATGGTAAATTTACATTATAATATAAACCTGATGCATTTGCCCTAAACTGATAGGTGTTAAACATTCCTTTAATTATAGATGAGATTTTTCATAAATATCTTTATGTCATAAATCTGATGTTTGAGCTGGTTGAGAGTTGGTATGCATAGATGCATGGGCAGAAGTCCCAACTGCTGGTTCATTTCTCATGGCTTTCTCAGCTCATGTATGTGGGTAAGAGCAGGTAAAAAGAATAAAATTCAAAATGAGCTGAAAGACAGTAGTGAGTAATTATATTATAAAA